CCCTCCCGGAGGACTTGTTCCCTGAATTTTTCCGCCCTTAAAAATTCGACGACCTCCGCCGGGTATTTGAACCCGCGTACTACGAGTCATGAGGTGGGAACGTTACCTCTAGACTACGGAGGTCGCTTCACTATAACTATAATGCTAAATGTTCTTAACATCTTAAAAAAATTTGCACAATTTGTACCATCTGTTTTAAGGTTAAAATATTCTGCATTCTGATCACAGTGTAGTTATTTGTTGTGTGAAGTTCTCGAAATAAACAACAATAGTTTACCCTAAATAGAATTAACTCCATGCCTTTAGTAACTGACATGAACTGTGTTCTCTGCGAGGTATGAAACGAGTATTTAATTGTTCAGTAACTGTTGACTGCTGCTTCCAAAGAGTTAATATACTTCGTGATCTAGGCCTCTCGTTAGTGTTATTTTATTTTATTTTTGTTTTCATTTTTTTTTTCTTGAGGCAACGAATCTGTTAATTTCCGTTTATAGTTCCCTTGCGGACTAGAACGACGGAGTTATTTATTTTTTCTGTTTCTTGAAGTGAGGTGAGACTGAATCCACTTGGCACGTCGGCCACTAACTGGCTTATTGTAGCAGTCCCGGATGGTAGATGAGTGTGGAGCAGTCGGTGGAATGAGAACTGGCAGGGGAACCCGAATTACTCGCAGAAAACCTGCCCTAGTTTTCATTTTGTCCACAACAAATCCCAGATGACCCTGACCTGGGCTCGAACCCAGGCCACCGCGGTGGGACGCCAGTGACTAACCGACTGAGCTATGGCACGGCCATAGGCCTCTGATTTCTTTCGCCCGTTGGATGTGTTAGTACCCGCGCCTACTTGCATTCCAGTACAACTCAACTCCTTACGGACAGCAAGATGGAGGTGTCCCGGAAAGTGACGCTTCCTTCTACTTCAAGCTAAAGAATTTATGTAAATACTCCTTAAAGATTATTTCAATTGTAAATACAAATTATATACATGTGTTATCGAATGATACGCCGAGGCCGTTGTTGATTAACGCCATCTGTCGGACACAGAATTGCTTCGTCCTCCGGGAGCAAAAATATTAACTATATATATATTATAAGTTACAGTCACAAATGAAATATCATTTTTAAGGACCGTGTATACCTCTGTTTCAGAACAATATCCAGTGATTTTTAAAAGTGAGCGTGTAACGTGGAAAGTGTTAAGGACACCGACTTGTGGTGCCCAGTGGAACAGCTGCAGGGGTTCCGTGTGCAAATCCATTAATATCGCGCCTAAAGAGACCCACACACGTACCATTAATGTAGCTAAGTAAACTGTAATAAACACTGTGTGTGTGTTGCTCTCCTTTCCTTAATAAAATATCCACGCAAAATGCATAATCGCGTGCCGCTCTATTTTAATTACATTCGAGATCGGTTTAGGGGTCGCATAAATGGCGAGAGATGAGGTCAACTGATTGCCGAGGTCACACGACGAGTTGACCCGTTGGGGGCACGCTACGGCGCTGTTCCCACCACAAGGGGCTCACGAATATTGTAACGCTATAGGGAAACCAGGCCGGTCACGGTAGCCAAGCTGTCTAAGGCATGTACTGTCTTCGCTTGCTTGGAAACAGGGATCGTGGGTTCGAATCCCACTCAGGGCATGGATGTTTGTGTGCGTTTTTCTGTTTGTCTACAGGTAGAGGCCTTGCGACGAGCTGATCACCCGCCCAAGGAGTCCTACCGAATGTGTAAGATCTAGAAAAACCGAAGTGAACGGAGAAGTTCATGGAGGTAGGCCTAGGCCCACTGGGGCTGTAGTGCCAGGAAAAAAGAAATAGGGAAACAAGCCCTCCTCACCACCTGCCTAGCAAACTAATTAGCCTTTTAAGACAAGGTTGTTACTAAGTACATACATCACAAAATTTCAGGTTAGGAAAAACTACATTTTGGCAACACAGTGTACCTATATACGCAAATATTGTGACACGTGGATCCATTTCCAGGCAACGCCGGAAATATGCAAACGCAGGAATAGAAGAATATTAATTTTTTTTCTGTGGTCCGCGCCATGCCCATGTATGGGCCAATGGACACGAATTCTGACAACAGAAGTGGTGTTTCCTACGTGGACCGCCCCGTGCTCAGTGCTGGGTAACGGGCCAATGGACACGCATTCTGACAAGTGACATGTTTTCTATGAGGTCCGACCCAAGTCTATATAACGAGAGGCGAAAAATAATAGGGAGTTCAGTCAGTTGTTGGTAGGAGATAGCTACGGGAAGTTAGTAGTTGAAGAAGAAATATAAGTCAGCCTGTGAAGACTTAATGTGTGATTAGAAGATTTAGTCACATTGAAACTGTTTGATTCCGTCACCAGCATACGACTACTGAGGACTGAGAATCCTAGTGCGTGTGTAACTTTGAAATACAAATTGTGTAAATCAGCGATAGCGCTGTATTATCGATTGTATAAGGGGTTAATAAATCCAATCATTCAATCCAGAGCCCGTTATTATTTGTCACGGAACCCGAGACACGTGACGATATTAATCACAANCGGTACAATAGAGATAGGCAGGGAATGTAGCTTTCATGGCACAGAGGAGGAATGTATACAGGATTTGGGTTGGAAACCCAGTAGGAAAGGGACCACCAGGATGGTATAACTGGATTGATCTGGCTCAGGATATGGACTAATGAAGGACTCTTGTGAACATGGTAATAAATTT